TATTCTACACCTACTATATATATATATATATATATATATATATATATATATTATCTCTTTTAATTATTTTTGGTTAGTTCTTCAGAAATAATTATATAATTATACATATTGGGTTATATAATTTTATTTATATAAGTATTCAATAAATAGCGTAAAAATAGTGTTTAGCATAAATATATATTTATTTCCTTTGAATTAGTGAATTTTATCATTAGTAACGATTAATTCTTGATAATTATTTTGTCTGGTTTAAATTAAAAAGCTCAAGTAATTAATGATAGTTATTCAACTTATATTAGTTTTAATCAGTTTGAACCCTAATTTCTTTATCCATGTGGTATCACTTCCATCAATCCCTCTCTCAAATTCAAAGATTAGAGACTTCGGGCTAGATTTGTTGACTTTGTCTTAGATAAGATCTCACCCAAATCTAATTCAAATTGAAAGATATCATATTGAATCTGATTTATTAGGGTTATGTTTTCCTCTTACTCGTTTTCTCATCCATTATTTCAAATAAATCTCTCATCTCCCCCTCAAACGCCTAAATTAGAATGCAAACCTTTATTTTCAACTATAAAATACATGGTATTGGTGTACACAAGAGCAAAATTGAAATTTAAAGGTTGGAGAATAGTATTCTTTGAAATCGAACACACAAAGGCTTGAGCCTCAGATTTTTATTTTTCTTTCAAGTTCTTTTTCCTATCTATTGATCAGTAGTAGTAGAAAGCCCTTAGCTTGTTTGTCTCAGTTCACTGCCCTCGAAAAGGTAAAATTCCTCTCCATGCTTTGCTTTGTTCTGCTAATTATGAGTTGTTTGTTTGATTACATTTTTTTACCCAAGTTCAACTATCTTTAGTGCTTTCTAGGTTGTCCATCGATGCAATTATGTTCATGTTGTCAATTTATCATGAACTTCATTATGATGTTCGTAGTGCTATCATAAAAATGAGGGGTATGACTTATTGTTGATCTGCACTCTTTGAGTAAAAAAGGTGTGTTTTGGTTCATATTTTAGCATATTAATTTAATTGTTGGTTGTATGTTGGCTTACATTTCCATTTTTCGGCATAATATACCTGCTTAGCTTGATATATAAATCTGGAAATTCAAAAATCTAGACTGAACAATGATGACTGAGTTCGTAATAGTATTGAACATTGATGAAAAGAGGATGAACACTGTTTTTCATGACCAATTATATCAACAAAGAATGATTCATGATTTCAATAAAATAGTGAGATCTCAAACATTAGAAGAAGGACAATTGGTCCTCAAATACATATTCCCCATCAAGAAGAGTATAATTGGAAATTTGTACCAAATTGGCAAGGACCATACATGGTTTGTAAAGTGTTATTTGGAGGTGCATTGATCATGTCAAAGATGGATGGTCATGAGTGGCCAAAACCAATCAACTCAGATGTTGTCGAGAGATACTACATTTGAAGATTAGTTTTTCTCTCATCATTTTTTTTGTAATCGTATCATTTGCTTGTAATTAATCATGTCAAGTTTTTATATCCCTCTATTGAACTACATCTTACCTGAATTCTCAAAGGCGTCCTATGTCTTCCTTGATCATTTTCTTATTAACATTCTCTATTGCTTTTATTACAAAAGTGGAACTATGTCTGACCTAATTTCTAACTCAATGGGATATTGATGCATCACAACGGCTTGGGCATACACTCCATAGAATTTCCATTTCCATTCATAATGAAAACTGGGACATAATTTTTAGAGGATCTCAAAAATTCTGAAGATCATTTACCAGCAAAACACGATTGAGCATGCATTAGGAAATGACAACTGAAGAAATTTTTTTGAGAAGATCTCAAAAATTTAACAAATGTTCCTACCAAAGATTTGAGAAATGATAAGAAGTTTCACTGGAGTAAAATTTTTGAGAAGATCCCGAAAATTCTATCCAGTACTATTCGAAGTTTAAAGTTAAGGACAAGTAATCTTCAGCGTGATCAGAAGCTCATGAACCCCAATATCTCATAAGTTCAAAGTCAAACTTCAATTATCTTCTAATTTTCCCAGCTTCAAAGGACTTTTAGATTCGATATATCGAAACTTGAACTAAAGTATTCATTTAAGCTTTGTGACATGACACATGAAAATGAACCTATCAATTTACTTATCAAAAATCTATTTCTATTAACGATAAGAGACTGTAATTCTACGAAGTTCTATTTTAGTAATATTTATCTGGTGCTTTTTTATATATGTATTCTACCTAAAATAGAATTCTAGTTTTATTTTTTGTTGTATAAATACATGTATTAGTACAATGAATAGAAATATGAACGACAAATTTCTTTATGTAAGCAACCTTGTTCAACATGGTATCAGACTTAAATCATGTAGTTTCGTCCACTTTCATAACCCAATGGAATAACCTTTCTCCGCAAATCATAGTCCAACAATAGTTCTTGACGAAATGAATTATCATTTATGGTCACAACTAATGGAGATGCGTATTGGAGCAAGAGACAAAGTTGGACATCTTATGCCTAATTGACCAAACTATTACCAACCGATCCAACGTATGACACATGGGTAACGAAAATCACAAAGTTCGAAGTTGGTTTATTTATTCAATGAACCCGCATCTGATGCAAATATTTATTCGTCTGGCAACCGCTAAAGAGATATAGAAAGATGCTTCAAAAATATTCTATGATGGATTGGATGAGACTTGCTTATTTGAACTGAACCAATAATCTTTTACCGCCAAGAAGAATAGTCGACCTTTGTCTACCTATTATGACAAACTTATTGCAATTTTTTTAGGTAAATTGATCATCAGACTTCACAAGAGAGATCAGTGGAAGGGATTGTACAGTTACATTCTGTGGTGGCTAGGCTTTTACTTCACATATTTCTAAGATGACTTGATCTAAAATTTGATCATGTTCGTGGTGAGATTTTGCCAAAAGATCCAAAACTGGATTTGGAAAGCTATTATGTGTACGTAAGGAAAGAAGCACAACAAAGACCATTTGGGTAGTTCTAGACCAGTCCCTGAAAGTTCAGCCATTGTAGTTCAATGTGATATACAAAAGAGTCGAAGTATTTCATCATCTGGAAAAATAAATAACTTTTTTTGCAATTATTGTGGTGAAAAAGGGCACACCAAACAATGTTGCTTTAACAATATTGGATATCCAGAATGGCGGGATTTTGAGAAATAACCACAGAAGAACTTAACTGACAGAGAAACAATAGCCATACAAGGAGACCAATTACAACCTACGACCAATGTGGCTCAACCAGATAACTTTGGTAAGGTGGATGTTTTTTTTGTCACTTCCAAGAAAAATACATGGATTATTGACATAGGAGCATCCAATCATATGACTAGAGACTCTAATAAGTTACAAACAGTTCACCCATCCTATCAACAAGTTATTTATATGGATAATGGTATACTTGTAATATAACGGGGGAGGGTCTGTTAAATTGTCTAGTACTTTGACTCTTGAAACTGTTTTTGTGGTGCCTTCACTCCAAAACAATTTGTTGTCTGTAAGCCAAATTACTTCATCTTTTAACTATACTATTAGTTTGGCCCTTATTTTATATCTTTCATGACATTCTGACCCAAAAGACTCTTGGTTATGGTGTTAAACAGTGCAAGATATACTATCTGGAGTTGGCTCAGAATATAGAGAATAATTTCTGGAAGACATGTCATACAAGTGGAGTTGAAAAGGCTAGAAAAAATATGGCTATCGCATAGCAGACTAGTACACATATCTTTTGGTTATCTTAAGACATGTAGAGCCCGTTTGGATAGGCTTAAAAAAAACTTTTAAAATTTACTTTTGATAGTGCTGAAACTTATTTTTAAAATAAGTAGTTACGTGTTTGGAAAAAACTGCTACAGTTGAAAAAAAGTATTGATGTGTTTGGCAAATAAGTGTTGGCAAACACTTTTTTTATCAAAATGTCTGAAATATCCTTAAAAATTTTAAAATGATAAAATGTTGATTAATTTAAGATTTTATACTTGAAAAAATTAAAGCAAAACTAAGTTATGTTTTACATCCATAAGTAACAATATTTCCTATCATTCACATAATTCTTTAACATCACATTTTTTTTGTATTTATAATAATAATAATAATAATAATAATAATAATTAAAAAATAAAATAAAATAATGATAATAATAATAATAGTAACAAAAATAATAATAATAATAATAATAATAATAATAATGATTATGATAAATAATAATAATAATAATAATAAAAAAAGAATTAAGGGCAAAAAGGTAATATACTTGGTCAACATAAAATGACTTTTAATT